CCCCCCCCCCCCCCACAACTCCTGCTGTGCTCTGGCACAAAGGCTGGGAGACAAAGAGCTGCCAGGATCACCTTGGGATGCTGAGTCCTGCTTTTCCACTCTTGTTCTGCTACTTCATGCTGTGCTTCCTAAAGACAGCAAAGGAAAATGTAGGGATGGAGCTTCTGTCCAGAGCAGCCGTGGCTGCTCCATCCCTGGGAGTGTTCCAGGCCAGGTTGGATGGGGCTTGGAGCAACCTGGGCTGGTGGGAGGTGTCCCTGCCTATGTCAAGGGGTGGGATGGGATGAGCTTTAAGGTTCTTCCCACCCAATGCAGTCTGGGATTCCATGATTCCCTCCAGCCCCTTCCTGCTCCTCTCCCACAGCTCTCCATAAAGGCTTGCAAGCCCCACAGCATTTTGTGGAGGAGTTTGCCTGACCCAGGAGAAGGTGCAGTGATCCATGGATACCATCCCAGGGAGGTCACAGCAGTTGGAGGTGCTCTGTTCCAGCTGGAGCCCTGGAGTTATTTGGCTTAATAAGCTCTTAATTAGCAGCTGAGAGGCCTCAGCACCTGCTGTGGTGCTGTGCCCCTGCCCTGGGGTGGGAGTCGTTCTGGGGTACCTGCTGCAATGCCATGTGCCCCTGAAGGTGGGAATATGGGAAGGCAAAGGTTGTATTCCTGGAATTGTTGAGAATTAAGGCAAATGCTGTTGGCTTCTTCTTAAAGTCACAGAATGGTGTGGGTGGGAAGAGAGCTTAAAGCTGATCCCATCCCACCCCCTCGCCTGGGCTGGGACACCTCCCACCAGCCCAGGTCGCTCCAACCATATCCAACCTGGCGTGGAACATTCCTAGGGCTGGGGCAGCCACAGCTGCTCTGGGCAACCTGTGCCAGTGCCTCACCACCCTCACAGCCAAGAATTCCTTCCCAATGTCCCATCTGTCCCTGCCCTCTGGCAGTGGGAAGCCATTCCCTGTGTCCTGTCCCTCCAGGGCCATGGAAAACGTCACTCTCCCTATGTTTCACAATTCTCCTTTAAGGCAAGGAGTTTCTCCCCCAGTCGAGTCTCCAAAGTGGGAGTTGGGCACTGAGTGGTCTTGAAAGAGTTCTTAGACTCATGGGATCTCCCTAGTTGGAAGGGACCCACAAGGATCCTCAAATTCCAACTCCTGGCCCTGCACTGGGGCTTGGAATGAGGAGGGAGAGGGACTTATCCCAGCATTCCAAACCTGCCAAGGGTTGTGCTCCAGGTCATGAAAACCATGGAGAACATTCCTGCCACTGAAGCAGGAGATGGATTTGGGGATCCCACAGCGCATCCCTCCCTGCTCCATGGCTGCTCACATCCCTTAAATGTCAGATTCGTAGTGTCCATTGGCCCTTGGAGCCTGGATGTGCTGTACTGATTCCAACCCAGTGATCACCAGGAGAGAGAACCCTTGGATCTGCCCTGGCACCCTGGAAATCCTGAGGCACCTCCACCCTCCAATCCCTGGATCTCTTCTCCAGGGTGGGAACAACCACCAAGCAATTCCCATTTATTTCCCCCCTGGTTGCAGGTCCTGGATCACCTGGAGGATCACCTGAGGAGATCCCAATACTTCAGATTCCTGTGGTTCCCTCACAGTGAGAACATCAGGATCATCTACCAGGATCCTACCAACAAGGCAGGTCCCATCAGAATCCAAAGTACCCAAGCTGGATGCCCTTCCAGAGATGGGATTTTGAGGTGGGAAGTGGCACTTTTGGGGACAGGGATGGACTCTTCCCATGCTCCATGGTTTGGGTATCCCTGGATACAGAAGCAGGGGTTGTCCAAGATCCTCATGGCAAATTCTGGTCTCTTCCTGAGGCTGGATGTGACCTGTTTCCTTGTGGAACAGAGATTTGGGAAGTCCTAGGATTCTCCAAACCTCTGCTCCCAGCTTGATCCCAATCCAGGTGTGTGCTCCCAAATTCCTGCCACAGAAATCCTGCTCATCCCTAATAACCATCCTCTTCCTCCTCTTGACATTGCAGCCCACCTCCTCCTCCTCCAGCTGGCTCTGGGACTATGCTGTTGGATATTACCTCTTGGAATTCCTGCTCTGGATCAGGTAGGATCATCCCCTGGGCCGTGGGATTGGGGAGGTCTTTGCAGGACTGGATTCATCCTAACGTTCCTTGCATGTCTCATTGAATCCTGTGAAGCTTTGCTGGGATTCCAAGGGAAGATGGGAAGGGGGGGAATGTCACCTGAAGCACCTCCATCCCTGGGGAAGGAGATGGTGGTTCTCCTCCAAAGAAACTGCAGGAGGAGGAGGAGGTTTGGGCTGGGATTGATGTCTGAAGCTGCACTGCCCTCTGGTGTGCTCATGGAATCATAGAATCAAGGCTGGAAAAATCCTTGGAAAACATCCAGTCCAATCCTCCCCAGGCACTGCCAAGGCCACTGACCATGTCCCCAAGGGCCACATCCACAGGGATTTAAATCCCTTCAGGGATGGGAATTCCAGTACTTCCCTGTCCCAATCCCGAGGCCACATGGATTTGCAGCACCAAAATGAGTTTTTCCACGGATAGTTTTGGATCTGGGAATGTTCTGAGCAGCAGGATGGAGAAATCCAATCCAGCCAGATGGTGCTGGGAAGCAGAAGAGCATGGGAGAGCCAGGCTAGGATCCAAAAAGAGGGAGAAGGGGGATTGTGGCCACTTGGGAATCTGCCAAGAGCTCCATTCCACAGTGTCCCTGGGATCCCTCAGTCCCCTGGAGCCAGGAATACTCCAAGGAGGCACTAGGATCTCCAGGTGGGGACTCAGCTTCCAGGGTGAGGAGGAGGGAGCTGAGGGTGTCTAGCATCAGGTGGGTGAGGACAGGTGAGCTCCTGGAAAGGCTCCAGGACCACAGAAGCTCCAGCATCTTTGTGGGATTGGAGCTTTGCCCCTGGAGAGGGAATTCCCCTGCCCTGCACCCCCCACAGAGAGGGACTTGGGACAAGGGATGGAGGGACAGGACACAGGGAATGGCTTCCCACTGCCAGAGGGCAGGGAGAGATGGGATATTGGGAAGGAATTCTTGGCTGTGAGGGTGGTGAGGGGCTGGGATGGAATTCCCAGAGCAGCTGTGGCTGCTCCAGCCCTGGGAGTGTTCCAGGCCAGGTTGGATGGGGCTTGGAGCAACCTGGGCTGGTGGGAGATGTCCCTGGGTTGGGACTATATGAGCTTTAAGTTCTCTTCCATCCCAAGCCATTCCATGATTCCGTGTCTCCTTGGGCTGTGACTTGTGCCATCACCACTCCCATCCTTGGGCCAATCCCTGAGGAGCATCTCCAAGGTCACACCTCACCTCCTGCTCTCTCCCTGCAGCACCTTCATCCCGAGCTTGGTGTGTTGGATCAATCGCTTCTTCTTCTGGCTCCTCTTCAGCTCCCGCACGGACTCTGTGTCCCTCAGCCACCACATCTTCACCTACGAGTGTCGCTTCAAGCAGCACGTCCAGGACTGGGCCATCCCCATGTCAGTGCCTCTCAAGACCCTCCCTGTCCATCTCAGGGACCAGACCATGTCCCAGCCCCTTCCTGGGCTCTCCCACCCAGCCCAGGATGCCCTGGGGCAGGGCAAAGCCATGGAGAGAGGGATCTGGCTAGGAGACTCCATTCCACCTGGAAGCTTAGCATGGGGAACCTTCTACATCCCTGTCCTGGTGTCACTAATCCATCCCATGTCAAGTCTTGGGGCTTTGTGATCCCAAAGCAGTGGGAAGTTATGGTAAGACATGCCAGGGCATTCCCTGCATAGCACATGGCTAGGGATGGACCTGTGGAATGGCTGTTCATGCCCAAACCATGTCCCATCCCCATGTCAGTGCCTCTGGTGACCCTTCCTGTCCATCTCGGGGACCAAACCACATCCCAGCCTCTTCCTGGGCTCTCACACCCAGCCCAGGATGTGCTGGAGCAGGAACAAAGCCATGGAGAAAGGGATATGGCTTGGAGACACCATTCCTAGCTGGAATGGTGGATCTGAGGATCATTCTACATCCCTGTCCTGGTATCTTTAACCCATCCCATGTCATGTCTTGGGGCTTTGTGATGCCAAAGTAGTGGGAAGATGTGGTGGGACATGCCATGGGTCCATGGATAGAGCTGTGGGATGGAGATCCAACCCCATACTGGCAGTAACTGGTGTTGGGACTTCTCCTGGGCAGTGGGAAGACCAAGGAGGCTCTGCTGGAGCTGAAGGCAGCTCTGGAGAACAACCCCAAGCTGGTGGCTCACTACCCCGTGGAGGTTCGCTTCGCCCGAGGGGACAACATCTGGCTGAGCCCCTGCTTCCAGCAGGACAGCTGCTACCTCAACATCATCATGTACAGGTCAGCCAGGGCCTCCTCACATCTCCTCCTCCTCCTCCTCCTCTTCCTCCCTGGGGTGTTCTGCCTAGAGACAGCAGCACTGGCTTGAAGGATCTCCTTCCCTTTTAGGGGTGTTGTCCTGCCTGAGGGTTCATTGCTGGTGGGATCTGCTTCCACATGGGTTCCCACCACTCAAACCCTCATGAGGGATCCATGAATGTGTCTTTCTCCCATGCCATTCCTTCCTAATTCCTCCCTTTCTGCTCCCTTTCCCCAGGCCCTATGGGAAGGACGTTCCCCACCTCAACTACTGGTTGACCTATGAAGGAATCATGAAGAAACACGGTGGGAGACCACACTGGGCCAAGGTACTCCACCCCAGGGGCTGCACAAGGATGTTCTCCCCTTCTCCATCACAGCTCCTCATGGGAGGGAGGTTTGGAGTCAAATGGGAGTCAGGGGAAGGACCTCATCCCACATCCTTCTGGTCCCAGAGGGACATGAGCGTCCCAATGTTTGTGTCCTCCTTGATGAGAGGATGGAGGTCCCACCACTTCTCCAGGGGCTTCCACAACATGGCTTTGTGATAAATGACTGAATCCCAAACAGGATTACAGTCAAAGTGTATAATTCATGCTGTGAATATAGGCAAGCAAACAGCGCTGGGTGCGTGGGGAGTCTCTGCTCCACCAACACACACACACACACCTTACAGTTCTGGTTTTTGGTTAATAAGCTCTTAGTTAATACATATTTGTAACCTGTCCCTGCTTTGTATTATGATGAGCTCTACACTCATTTCCATGTGTTTGCACTTGCACAGTGTCTTCAGGTGGTCGTGGGCAGGGGTCTGCAAGAGGAAGGCTAGTAGTCTTCATCAGCTTAAACTTTTCACCTCATCCTTTAGCACATGAGCATTATACTTGGTTTTTTACTAACCCAGCACTCTTGTGTGTTAATAAGCTAAAGCAATCCTAAAATTAGTCTTCTCTACATTTGATAAGATAAGGTAACACCCTGTTGTGAACTACTATCTTGATTTATTTCTTCCCTTGTCCACTCAACCGGCCCTTAATTGCCTTTTGGAGCCTACTTTGTTTACCCAGCCGGTGCCTCCTTAAATTCTTTGTTTGGGGCCTACTTCTCAACCCCCCCCTTAGCTCTGGTCAATATCTTCTCCTTTTGAAGTGTGCATATCAATGTGGAGCAAGCACAAGCAGTACCAGTTGGTTAGTAAGCAACTTCCAGTACATCATTGATTAATCTTTTTAGCTTCTTTATATCAGTTTTAGCTTCTTTGTATCAGTCCCCCCTTTTCTATAAGGTTAGTAAATCCTTTTACTTATAGATGAGTGTTTTTCCTCAAGGTTCCCTGAAAGTATTTGCCTGTTTCTGTGGCATGTTGTAACTTAATTTGCTTCCAGTCCTCATAGGTATCAGCTGATTGCATGCAACACCAAACAATACAACAAAAGATCACACATAACAAAATCAATAATCCCATTTTTACAATCAAGCTTATTCAGCCTTCCATAAATCATTAGTTAAATTTAGTTAATCTTTTGTTTCTAACCCCCCCTTTCTCCCAGGTTAGGAAATTCTTTACTAATACGCAGATTCTTCTTTCAACAATTCTTCAAAAGAAGTATCTCTTATCACAAATAAAATAAGGCTTATATTAACGAAACAATATTGATCTCCATATTGACACAAATCAGGGGAACACATTTCACATCTTGGTGGGGTCCAGGACCAGTGACACTTTCCCACTGGTGGGACACCCTTACCCAGGACATCATCTCTCCCTCAGGCTCACAGCTGCACCAGAAAGGACTTTGAGAAGATGTATCCAGCCTTCCTCAAGTTCTGCTCCCTGAGGGAGAAGTTGGATCCCACCGGGATCTTCCTGAACTCCTACCTGGAAAAGGTGTTTTACTGACAGGAGGGAAAATTCACGGTCCTAAGGTGCTGTACTGTCCCACCAACACCTCAATAAAGGCCTTTCTTGGAGCAGAATCTCTCAGAGATGTGTCCCAGGGAGCTGTCCAGCCCTGGGAACATGGGAAGGGCTCGGGGGGTCCATATCCATGTCCATCCAAGTCCTGGACAACCCCCAGTGCCTCTTGTCCCACCAACA